GCTTTTCACAAGCTGTTTAAGTGCTGGCCTTCCACTCCATTTAACGTGTTGCTGTAGTAACCCTGAGCTCTCATTACACTAAGTACAATGCCTGACCCACATGTCACCATGTTCTGCCAGATGTACCTCTGACAATGGCCAACAACCTAAAATGAAGCCTTGAAATAAGCTTATTAGGTCTAAAACCCATAATGGATCAGGCATTTGCACCAAAAAATGATAGTGCAAGTTCTTGACAACACAAGAAAAAAAAAAAAAGCTGGTCCTACAATCAGATCTGGGGTGGGTTTTTTTCCCCACGCAGTGATACAGGGGTATACTCAAATACTGTTCTGGATTGGGAAAATAATTTATTAATGCAGTTTGTTATTAAGTTCTAACAGTACTCTTCAAAGGAAGTTGCAAATATCACTTGCTACCATCTAGTAATACACCAACATTTCCTCGCTAGCAGTGAAGAAGTAGTAGTAGTAGTATCAGTCCACAATTAAATAAGAAAATGGGGTATACTGGAGAATGAGTAGCCTATTAATTTAAACAAAAAAATACTGCTTTTGAAGATGTGTAGCATCTTTGAAAAATTAAGACATAGAATGATATCAAACATAACAGTGGGTTGTTACTAAGTTCAACTGTCTTACAGATCAGAAAACCTGCACATGGATAACCAAGAGTTACCTGTCCTAACCATCTAAGCTTTTCCTTTGTATATTGAATTAAGGACTACAGAACATATGGCATAATCAATTTATACCACCAAACAGAAAAGATAAAGTCTATTTAATTTCTGCAGATTTTATTGGTTGGAAAAAAAAATAAAATTGGTCCACTCAAACATTTTTCATAATTTACAAAATAATTCTGTAAGAAAAACTTGTTTAAAACATAATGTAGCACGATAAAACTGCTAAAGTAACACAAACTGTTATATCCACTGTTTGAAAATACAATAATAAACACTTAGCAACTCAATACAGAAAGCTGTCATACCGTAATCTTCCATCCTGTGCAGCTGCACCCCCGGCTATAATTTTTGTAATGAAAATACTTGAATCATCCCCAATATGTGGGTTGTCTGTACCACCCGCAATGCTAAAGCCAAGTCCTGAATTTCCCTAAAGGTAGAAGGGGAAAAAAAATTATACATTTCTTCTAGGGGAGAAAAGATATTCTAGTATATCTATTTGATTCAATATAGAACCAAATCCACATCATTTTCACTGATAAACAATATTAAAAGATACCTTAAGCAGAATACTACATATAACCATATGTAAGACATAATTATACTTATTTTCGTAGAAGGAGAACATAAGTCATTGTGTAACTGTAAGAGATACAGTTCCAACCCCACAGCTTTCTCACTGAAGTGCACTTGATAAACTAGATAAAAACTTCCCTCTCTAGTGAGCCAGATTTTTGAGACTATTCATAGGAATATTTGCTCTTCATTAAATTATTAGTAACAAATTATTTTCCCAGAGAAGACCTCAAGTAATTTGTGTCACATATGTAATATATCCTCACAGCTGCAGATTCAGACTGACATTTTCTCTTCAAAGGTTGCCTGCCCTTACTATCAACTGTAAGACCTCTTCACCCTCTCAGCAACCACCAGAATTGCACAGGTATCAAATACAACCATTTCTTTCTTTCCTTTTGTTTACAGTGCAGCTCAAAAGAAGAGAACCGAGACAGATCTCAACACTGTAAACCCACAAAGCAATGCCTATGACAAGGTGTCACTTGTAATTTCAACCGGAAGCCTGAATCTCAATATAAAACTTAATGGTGTACACAAAAGCCTATCATAAATGGCAATACAGGAAGTGAAATCATAATTTGTGCTACTACTCTCTACGAGCCTAGATAATAACATTAAATGCAGAATGTCTCAGGGAGATCCTTCCCCCATTTCACTCAATCATCTACAATATTAATAAAAACTTCTATTCCTGCTCCAGCAACTGGGTGTATTTTTTTTCTTTAGGTCAAATAATCTACATAAAGGAAAAAAAAACAGGATTGTTTTGGATTGCCATTTAACAGTATCAAGAGGTTAATTTTTCATATTAAAGTATCATAAATCCCATCTAAAACAGAGTACAGGAAAACAGTTAGCATGTTACCCTTTCAAGAGTAATTTCTTCATACTCATAATCTGCATCCGTGCCGTTGACCTATAAAGAAAGAAAAGTGAGACTTACAGAGAATTTTACACTTTACACAGCACAGTTTGCTCGGCTGGCATTTCACTCCCATCAAATCTCATTGACAGTGACCACTGAGCTCAGAGGGAACATGTGATTTTCATGCTGCTCTGTACATGAATCAGAGGCTCTTTGTATGCGTTTAAAAGTTAAGATTTCAGAGAGCAGACTGTCTATACACAGACACTGTACAGCAGAGGCCCTCTGCTTCTGATTGCCAGAAAAAAAAAACGTTCTTGAGATCCTCAGATGTTCCTCAGGCCATATAGCAAGTGCGAATAGAAAAAAAGGAAGGGGTTGTGGGGTAGAGAAGAAATTGTATAGAAGAACAGAGCACTATTTTTCCTTACAGAGCAGGGGTAAAAAAAAAAAAAAAAAAAAAAGACTGGTGCTTTATACCATTTCTCACTAGAAATGGGCAAGACCCTTCTAAAGCAACATTTAACAACTGTTTATATTACTATTGATCATGTTATATATATATATACACACTAAAGCTTAGCAAATTAAAACAGGACCAAAACCAGAAGAGCTTAGAAAAGTATTTTATAAAGCTAGATGAAAAACCCAAGCCTTGTCATCCTCAAGTCAGAAAGGATACCCACATTCTTTGCTACCTACAGAACTAGGACAGAATCAAATAACAGAAGTAACAAATATCTAAATTAAGCTAAAACAATTAAAAACCAAATTCTTAACTATAATTTTTTTTTTTTTTCCAATGACTAAGATGTCTCGGAGTTCAAATTCTTTCCTCCACAGATACCTACAGCAGCATATACCACATGTAGCTACAGGCAATTCCCTATTTCAAGCCATTTAGGATGAAATATTTAACAAGAAGTCACATTTACACAACTATTTTACAAAGCAACTTGTCTATTCTTAACATATTCTGTATCTGGTAGTCTTCTGTACTCTTAACATACTATTCAAGATTTTATAAACATGCAAGTTATATGTATAGAAGAAAGCATTTTAAAACCTATATAGTTTTCTAGCAGAGAATTAAAAAGGAAACTTTAATTTATTCCAAACAAAATTAAGATCGCATCTTCATTCCTCATTTATTTAACACATTTAAAAGCTCCAAAAGCTGGAGACCCCTCACCTTTCACGGGCTGTCTAATATCAAGCTCATTTAGCCCTCACTACAGTTTTTCTTTAATCTCTAATTCTATCTCTCCTTAATACAATAGAAGCCATGTCCATTCCAGACATAATAGATTATTACCATCATCTTTGTGCAGTACCTCACAAATTATTATGTCCTTAGTAGTTTATCCAGTGGAAAAGATACTGTGGTTTTAAAACATGATATTTCTCCACTGAAAAGGGAAGAGGTCTTGACCTTCTGAATACATGAAACTGTATCTATTACTACACCAACACAAAAGAAGTCACTGTGAATAAGAAGTTTTAATGTTAGCTTAGTCCTTGAGCTATTGATCTACAAGAACGACAACATGTGCTAACTGAACCACTCATCCAGTATTACAGTACCTGGGAAATGGTTCATGATGACTGATTAGTATGTGGCTTTTCCATTCTTTTTTAAAAAAATAAATAAATAACAAGGATAATTAATAATTTCCCTATTCATTACCATTAGGCAAAACAAAGCCAATCCTAATATATTTAAGCAGTCTCTTGTTTATTTCCATGTACAAAACTCTGTAAACTAATATTAAAATATCACCTAGATAAAGAGGAGCAAACAAAAATGAGACAGGAGCAAGGACACATCAGATGATTAAAATCACTGTCCTATTCTACCTTTTGCAAGTTTTGAAGTGACCTCAGAACCACTAAGCCAAGCTTTACCTGCAGACAACTCCCCTGGAGGAAAGCTGTTCTATACACATGCTGTAATTACGCCACAGCAACCTTCTTTGCATCTGAAAACTTATCAGTAGTTCATCAGAATTTGGTTAGAGTCTTTTGGCTGTACTGGAGTTAATTTCTCTGGTATCGTCAATCTTTTTATGTGCTACCACCTTGAGTTTTGTTTGTATTTCCTTGGGCTTTCACAAAGAAAAAGAAAAAAAAAAAAGTGGTTTTTGCTGGTATTTTCCAACCCAGTTTGAGTTCTAAGGAGGAGGACTTCCTCAGCGGCTTTGTAATTCAGATAATGAGAGCTGTGTTCTTACCCATTTATTCCTCGATGACTTTCCAGATTCATATTTTGCTTTTTTCATCTTTCAATAGAAAAAGCTTTAACAGTTAAGGTTTTTGTAGGTTCATGACGCAGTTACCCCACAAGTATGATTTCACATTATTTATCGTTTAACAATTCCATTAGCTACTTGTGAACCTAGAAGGACATTCCTTTACTCAACTTCCAATGCTTGCAGAGTAGGTTAAATTACAGATAGGTACAGGACTTGTTCATTTTACATTCACAGCAAACTGATAACTTTGATAGCTTGTAATTCTAAGTACCAGTTTGTTCTGTTAACACTACTTTCTCCTCCTGCTTCTACTATCTACTGTCCTCCATGTGCCTCTATCAGATGGGGCCTTCTGAAATGTGAATACATCTTTATTAATCACTCTTGGTTTAGTTTGCGTGCGCAGGGAGACATTTCACTTTCAGTATGCTTTTCTAAACAGTGTCTGCGTCTCATCAATAAAAGGGCCACACACTGCTGGCTGCTGCTGTGATCTTTTAGCCAGAGGCATCGTTTTCACATTCTGGACTCATTTACAAGCCAATTATGTCACTGTACTAATCTTTTGTCTTCTGCTTAAACTGTTAATTCACACTTTTGTCTGTCTTGAGTTATTACGGCTCCTTTCTAGCAACATTGCTAAGTTATGAATATTTTGACAAAGATAAGATTTACTCTTTACTTGCTAATACTAGTACTTAGAATTAACACAATGTAAAGCAACTAGTACAGGCATTAACACTGTTCAGGAAAATGAAAAGCAAGTGGGATATAAGTAGCTGTAGGAGGAAGGTACAGGAGGAAAAGTCAGACCAGAAGCCTATGCCAATCCTACATACATTCCAAAGCCTCTGAAGTCTCTATCTGTCAGTGGCATTCCTATCACAAAACACACACTGCCAAACACAAATTTTAGCCTCCACATGATTACACTTATTACCTTAATGTTTCAAACAGAACAAATCCATTTTTATGTACATTTAGAGCACTAAAATCTTAAGTATAGCCACTGCATGAAGAAGTGTTTTTATGAGAAGTGCAACGGAAATGGCACATTAAATATTAAAGCATCTGCCTGCACATTTGAAGAAACAGATTGTTCTCTGAACACTGAAACTCTGGAACCTTAAACAACTGTGTTTTGCACTGTCGCACACCAGTACTCACACAGAACCTTCCACCTGCAATCTACAACATGTTTTTTTTCATGAAACAGCTATTTAAGGACTTCAAATAACCATCAGGACAGCTGATGAAATCAAGCACCATCAAAGAGGTAAAATAGGTTTCATTAAACAGTAACAACAGACCTACACAACCATATATGTAAAATGTTATCCGAAGTTATAATGGAAAGCAAATGTAGGCTTACGTATGTTGGAGTCTCCAAAGAATCTGTATTCACCAGCACTGGAGGGGGATTTGCCTTTAACAGAAAAATAAAAAAATTATACAGCGTAAAAGAGAGAAATACTTATGAAAATTATACAACAGCTGTGTTTCTCAAGGTTCTGTTAAAAGGTAGCCTCAGCTTGAGGATCTCAAAAATTCACCTTCTGAGACACTTGTTGCTACCCTGAATAAATAGCTTTCATGCCACAAAACCACACTCTTCCAAAACTCTGAGCTCGTATTTTATATACAAGTTCTGTCATTTATTACCTTATTTTTCAAAAGGAAAACTGAGTCATGCTATCATTTGACATGATGTCAGTTAGCCTAGTACTCCCTTTACTAGCCAATACCTTAAAACCAAATTTTGGTGGATTTGATTCCTCTTTCTTCCTACAAGAAACACTTGCTCCCCACCCCCTTCAACCTGAAAAACAGAAACTCACAGAAATGCAAATTCTACAAAACTGACTTGTGAAAGCAAATCCACAGCAGACATTCATCTACTGCGCAGCAGCATGTGCTTCCATCAGAACACTGTTCTGGATTCACAACCCATAAACAGTCAGAGACTATTGTTACAAAAATATGAAATGCTACAGCATTGTTGCTAGCCAGGAACTGATAGAACTCGCTAACGCTTATACTCTAATGTTACTGAGAATTTTCTGCAAAAAATGTGGTTTCAACTGAAAGAAAATCCATACAGACTGGTGGCATTTATGTGAAATACTTCCAATTAAACAGATTTACTATTTTTGCATCAATTATCTGCCTTTAAACAGGTAGCATCTAGCCTGCTCTAGGGACAAACAAACAAAAATTATATAGATACATCCCATACTCCAAATACTGTTGATGTATTAAGTTCAACAGCACCTACAAACTCAGTGACACAAAATTAATCTCCTTACTGCTTTAATGAAGCTGAGATTTTTTTTGTGTATAAAAATCTGTTATGTTTAAAATTAAGACATCCTTTAGCCTTTTTGGGTTTTTTAAATCTCTTATGTGTGTGTCTAACAAATTTAGTGACAGTAACAGGCTGCAATAGAAGCTAGTATTAAACTCATTCGAAGATAAACTTAAGACCTACAAAAACAATGCATTTTAGTTTCATTACCATGACAACAACATAGTTCTGAAGAACTAATGATTTTTAAAAGCTCCCAAAAGCGAGGAAGTAATCGATGACTCAGAATTTCCTTACAAAAGGCTGAGATGAATAATGTACCATCCCTAGACAGGAGTCATCAATCTGCTATCAGGTTGCTGTGTCAGAGATTAGGGCTATATCACTCAGTAAGTACTAAAACCAGGTGGTATCTATGCAAGTTAACAGTGGACTAACAGAAAAAAAAAAAAACAAAACAAAACAAGAAAAAAAGGATGACACCTATGACTGTCAAGATGCCTAACACCTTTCTCACCCAGAAATTCTCTCAGTAGAACATGGGCACACACTTCATGCAGTACAGAAATCAAGTACTAGTTACTAGTATCATGATAAAAATCTGTCAAGATAATGCTCCCTCACAACCATTTTCTGACATTAAGTTGTACATTCCAATTTCTGCTTCTTATTCAAGTGCAAGTTCTGTTGAAAGAAAACTAAATTAAAAACAAGATCCTGTACTAAAAATCCCAATCAAATTATGCAGCACTATCCCTGTAAGAGCTTTAAAATTAACATATTTCTTTATTTAAGAAAACCAAAACGATAAATTGTATTAAAAAGAACCTGATGAATATGAGGCATTAGGAGTCTGATCTCCACTAAAACTACAAGAGACCAGCATGCATACAGTTATTTTATATTTGTCTATCAACGATGAAAAAATTTTGCCATTTCAGTCATGTTCTTTACATATCACTCAAATTTGGAATTTGTTTTTATCTAATATTAAGATTCTGCAATATCCAAGTATGTTTAACAGAAGCAGTGCCAGCGAAAGCTGGTTTCCCATGAATCTTTTTCTCAAGGCTGACAAGTGTTTTTCTTTTAACATCTTGAAAGAAGAGGAAAAGTAGCTAAAAGTAAATTGCTATTAGTAAGTGAGGTTTCTATGTGAACAGTACGTTTGAGACATGAACTAGCCAACCAATGCAAAACACCTTCCATAAGTTAAGCAATTGTTCCTAATGCTCCTTCTGCATTTATCTGAATTCTCCATCAAGAAGCAATAATTTACCATCATTTCCAAGCATTCCAAAGGTACGCCTGGACACCGCAAAGACACAAGGCAACATCTAACTAAAAACATCAAACGTTTTTGAAAGGAAAACCTGGTATTTCAGTTTGTTTCAAAGGAGTTCTCCAAATTACCTAACACCTTCAAGCTCCTGTGCCAGGGCTTGTTCAAATATTTAAAAGCCATTTGACAAGTTTGTTTACAAGCACACTAAGGGCTTGCCTAAGGGCTAAAGTGATTAACAGAATAGAGAGATGTATCTATCGCACAAAAATGCATCTACCAAATCCAAAGTTGATTAAGACTTTCTATGGTATTTTCTAATTGCTTAGAATCACAAATGATGCAGAATTATACAGCTAACTCCTGCAGACATGTATATGCACTCAGAAGACAGAGGCAGAGACCACCCAATTCTTACTCTTCTGCTTGTAATCCAGCATCATCAATGGACAGTCATGCTGTCACAGCAACAGCAGTCAAGAAAATATAAATATATACAGCACTAACTATTTTATTTTAAATTAAGTTTAGCCTGTTGGCGATTCTCTGAAAGTAAATGCTACTGGAGACTCAATTATCTTTATCCATCAAGGCTGATAACAGAAGTCCACTGGTTGCACTAGTCTGTCTGTCTTAAATCCTGATGTGGGCAGAATCTCTCTATAAAATGGAAACATTTCTGAAACTAATCAAATCTCTGGTCTGCCTGTTGGGAAAAGTACAGGTGGAAGATTCATGTAAACATACATCCAACTAGAAGTTGCACTATAAAACAGTAAGGGTAAAAAATTTTGATAATTATTGCATTATGCAACGTTTAATAACGTAGCAGAGATGAAAAATATTACCACCTGTTGCAAGTTTAGCTGCATAGCTTGAAAGTAGACCTTGAGAAAAAAAATACTGATGTGTATACTATAAAAATATCCCAGTAATATTCTGGATAGCTTAATTCCCTTTTAAAGTTAATAAATATCTGTCAAACAATTCCAAAAAGTGACCCGTCTTTTCAGAAGGTGTGCAACCATCATTTGAGATTTTTGCACTCAAAGTTACAATAAAGTTACAAAAAAATAAAAGCAGAATTACCATTCTATATGCAAAAATATAACTAGTCTAAATTATTCCACAGCTTGCCATGCTGTGGGCACAAATTCCAAGTTATATGCAAGATATTCATGTTAACTCTTATTTACTGCTTTCACTTGTCTTGACAGGGTTGAGTTTTTTCTCTGTGTGTTGACATTATGTGACCTAAAGAGTGAAAGTCCAGAAGGGATGCACATTTTATGAGTCAAATACATT